TGATGGAATGGCGACATGTTATTATGTCATCCCAAGTATTGGTAGGATCAAGTTGCTTTGAGGGATATCTACACAAATAATCAATGGTTAAAATATCCAAGTCCATCTCAATGTTTATTTTATAGGGTCTACCTTTTAATCCAATGAGCGACTAATTTCTCCCAATTTTCTGACCTATTCGAGGATTGCACGAGATTTATGTACTCTTCCATTTCGACAATCTAAGTAAAAAAAGACGTCAATAATGTTGAACTCTATCGTATTTAACTTTGCTAATAATTAATTGTTACCTGCTGCAACGAACTCAACTTGTCTAATCTGATGCCTAATGCCAAAGGATGCAGAGTCGACCAGTTGAACAAAAAACTATCATATGCCTTTTGTACGTATGATCGCGCCTGCGCAAATTCGTTTCGAGCAATCGACGTCAACGCCAATTCTAAAAAAAATGTAAAAATGATAATTCTTATATACAGAAAAGAATCTATATTAAAGCAAGCAATTCAAACTTACCCATTGGGTACTGAGAAGTTAGAAGTGTCTTACGATCCGGATCGGTCATAGCATTTTCGATGAAATCCAAAAACATTTGACGATGAAAGTCGTGATCGTCAGTGCCATGGGCTAACTTAAACATGCTGTGCATGAAGTATTGAAGGTATGGATCCTATTGAGATAGAAGGTATTTAGTAAAATAACAACTTCTGAAAATGATATAAATGGTAACACGAAAATCAAAGAAAACCTGATATTCATCTTCCCAGAGTTTATCAAAACTTTTATCGATATCAACCAACACAGTGTCAGCCAGGCTTTCCCATTGCGAAAGCTTGATAAAACATTCGAATCTACCTTCCTCCCACACTCGGATCTAACAGAGATTAAAAATTACTTGAATTTCTTGAAATGGTAATATAACGGAAGCAACATAAAAGAATTGGGAGACAAACCTCGTTATTGTCGACGTCCACGTCCTCATGGCCAAGGGCATCCAAATAAAGCTGACACGCTGAAGCATAATCACCTATAAGCTCAGCATTGAGAGCATCTGAGTAGATAAAGGCTAAGTCAATTAAAGCTGTCATTTGCTTGAACATTATATCATAACGGGTAAAACCTACCCTTGGTCACTTGACTATGAGCAATGTGACACTCGTAAATGCTTTTATAGACGTCGTTTCCATCGATCGATTTATAAAGGTATGCCAACTCTACCCAAGGAAGCATACTTTCAGCGGCAGTTCCGGAATCAGTAGCACGAACCCTTTTTGATCCTAAAATTACAAATTTTCTTAGAATAAAAAAAATTAGGTGCGAAATAATAACCTTGAGCTGTACCTCTTGGTGAAATGAAGCGCAGTAATTGCCGCTCGATCAAACTAATCCCTAATGATTCGGTTGAACTTATTTCACTAGCCTTTCTTATGACAGTTGGATCCACTTTTATGTCGACAGCTTCAAAACAAATCCTCAAACAACTGTTTATCAAAGGTGGGAAATATGTTGTTGAGTTGATGAAAATGGATTGGATATATTGAGCAATCGAATTCTTGTACTCTTCTTGCACAGTGGGTTCCTGATAGATATACACATATTATTACCACAAATCATTTAGACACGTACAATATGCAACGTACAATTCTTACCATATCAACATGATCATCAACATGATTATAGATTGAAACAAAAATTGAGGTGAACAACATGCGAGATATTTCCAGGTCGCGCTGTGCCAGTGCCTGTAGCGGACCAATTATGTCCGAATATTTAATTTCTATGTCTGGAAGCTCACCTAAAATTTAAAATTACCGTTGGCATTTCAACGAATGAGTCTGTAATCTAAGATGTCAACAACATACATACCGACACGGTATTTACGCAACATTGAAATCTGCTTGTATGGAGTTTCGGTTTGAAAGGAATTTGAAATTTCCGTCCTTTTGTGCTTAGCATGAGCCAATGCACGATAGAAATCTTTTTGCGACGACTGTGTGGAAGAAGAAAAGGCACGCTTTCGCAGGCTTTGGTACTGAGATACCTG